TACAGCAGTGGTGGCGGGAGCCTCTCCTGCCTCCTCAGCAGCACTAAGGATATCCAACTGCAGCTTAGGTCTGCTCCCTACTGGTAATTGGCATCCCCCAAGGGCTGCCGGGCTGCCAGAGGGATGCCTGACTGCCAGCTTAGGCCCGATCCCCGAGGGAGCAGGCCTAAGCCAGCATGTGAACATCCTCTGAGGGGTCCCAGACTGCGAGAGAGCACAGGCCGGGCTGAGGGACCCCCCTGAGTGCACAAATTTTTGTGCACCAGGCCTGTAGTTCTTTAATAAAAGGTGATCTACATATTCTATATCATATAGATTTTAAAATATTTTTGAGTGTCCACATATGCCAGAGATTGTGCAAGACTTTTGAGGAAATAACATTGTGCGTAAAATATGGTCCTGGTTTCCACAGGCTTGTCTTCCAGTACAGATGAGTAACATTATAGGCAGGATTGAAATAGAGCTGTCAAGTTGCATTGTTAGGGTTTTTCAGCTGTCATTTTGAATCAGGTCATTCACATTGGTGGAGACCGAGCTTGTATATTGTGAGATGTCTTAAAGCATCCCTGCCCTCTACCCACTGGACACCAATAACACCTTCCAGTTGTGACAACCCAAGATATCTCCAGATAGTGCCAAGAACTGAGTTAAAAATCACTTGCAATTTTCAACCACTATATTAGATGGAAAGTCCTAGGTATATTTTGCTAATGAATATAACTTCTAGTTGGAGAAACCAAGTAAAGTCCATGGAAGAAAGGGTGGCTGATATGAATAGGTTGAGAATAAGAGAGAAATTCAGGACCAGAGAAGATAATAATAAAGTGGCTAAACTGTTGATGGGAAGCCAAGTGGATAAGTATGAATTATGTTCCAGAGTCATGTAGCACGGGGTGGTTCGTAGAGAAAAACTGATAAAGTAAAAAAGCAATTAAATTATGGAGGTCCTTGGATATAAAATAAAGAGAGATGGTTTTCATTTTGTAGGGTGGCCATTTGCACATAGAAGTGAAATGAATAAAGCATCATTTTGGAAATGTTAATATGGCAGTTCTGGGCAGAATGATTTAGGCAAATAAGAAAGTTTATTTTAGGTCTGGGACTCAGTTAAGGACATAATTTGGCAGAAATTGGAGAATATATTTGTGAGAGATGTATTTCCCAACATGGAATGAGAGAAGAAAAACGAGTGAAGAAGTCTATAACTTGCTTCTATGTTTGATCTCATAAATTGTTGTTGAAATTGTTTTCTCGTAATACAGCTGACACTTTATAATAGAGCTGATGGGCAGATGTGCCCAGATTCTCTGGGACTCCATGAAGTGGAAAGTTATAACTGACGTTGCAGAGTTGTGAAAACAAAGATAATATCATTCTCAAAAACAACTCTCCATTGACATAGAAACTAGGAATCTAAGAGTTTAAATAATGTCGTTCAAGAAAATTATTCAAGTATTCTAAGGGGTTAAAATGTATGCTTAGCAAATTTACTCTTGATTGTAACTACACTGTTCATTTTCTCTTAAAAGATTTTCTATCCCTTTGTACATTAAAACCTCTCACGCACAGAATGGCCTGGGGTAGGGTGGGAGCTAGGTAGAGGGGGACCAGGGGAGGGAGGAATGGGGGATACCTGTAATACTGTCAAAAATAGATTTTAAAAAAAAGATTTTAAAAATAAAAATAGGGAGAAGAAGAAGCAACTGTGAAATAGAATGTCATCACTTCCCCTTCACCCCCACATCTTCCATTCTTGCCCAAATCACCTCTGACTTACTAGTAGATCTAAGAAAGGAGCATTTTCTGAAATCACAGAGACTTTCTAACACTTGTTTGCCAACAGGCTAGTATACTTATTTTAGAAACTCTTAAGCTTCCATTTTTTAGATTATGACACCAAAAAAATTTAAAATGTTGGTAGACACCAAAAAATTAAAATGCACTCTTTGAAAAACGTAGAAGCAGGGAAGCAATAAGAGACTAACTGAATAGAAAGAAATGAACACCTAGGGAAACCATTGGAAAAATTTAATCTCAGGCACAAAAATCCTGATTTTGTTAAATAAGCAAACTCTAGTTTCATAAGCAGGGAATTAAGTATTGGTGGAAATTCAAGAGAGGTTTTTTTGTGTTTTTTTTTTTTTTATTCCTGTCAGCTAGATATAAAATAGATGATAATTGGAAGAAACTTGAATAAGTGAAACAAGGTAAGAGGCTGCTGCAGTAATCCAGATGTTGCTCATTTATCAAAAGCAGTTTCTAAGTATCCTCTGTATTAATAGCACTTTATGAGATACAAATTAATGCTTACTTGAACTAGGGCAGTGACTATAGAAATGGAAATGTCCTACTGAATATTAATAAAATGACAAAACCGGCTCAGTGCCCATTTTTTTCTTGAGGTTGTTATTCCTACACTTATCAGACTTTACATATTTGAAACAAATCCATACTTTGGGGATGTTTTCCTGAAATAAGTTGCATTAAGAATCATGGGAAGAAGTTTGCTAATAGTTGCCAATCAACTGCCTGTCAGTCTGTACCGATATGATATATTTTCTGAGTTAAACAGCACCGAGTGCTAAAGATGAGGGGGAGGGAAAAAAGTAGGGAGCAGTGCCACCCCTCCAGGTTTTAGCAAAGGCTCTATTTCTGTCAATCACCAGAAAATTAAAATCCTTCCTGGTCCTGCAAGAATGTTTTTAGTGAGTGAGAGTGTGTTTATGAAAAGAAATGAATGAACCAAATGGCCACAATTATTGATTCTTTCTGCCCTTGTGGCTTTAGACTAGAAGTGGTTTTCAAGGGTCCCAAAAGCTATTTCCAATCCCCCCCCCCTTAATTTGATCTGCAGCATTATGGATGCCCTCAATCTAGCCACATCTGATCTGTTCCATCAGGCCATTGGGAGTGACTGTCAATTAATAAAAAGACTGCATTTAAAAGCCCTTTTCATCTTTCTATATAATTTAAAATGTACATTGAGCTACATAAAAAGACAAAACACCTGGATTGTCACAAAACTAAATTTTAGCCCCACTTCTGACTGTGGCTTAAAGCATGAATCTAAAAAAATCTAAACTATCAAAAAATCTAAAAATGTCGTTGTGGTTGAGAAGTAAAACCTCTCAGTCATTCTCCTACCTTATCAACATAATATTCACCATTGGAAATGTTTAAGTAATATTAATTACAATTAAATGGCTTTTGGTAAGTTATAGAACTGTTAAGTGCTATAAATGAGTCTTCTTTTATGTAATATGAGTATCTCGATCTATAAATTAATATATACTCTTTTTATAAAGAACTGTCCCTGGCTCAGGGTTTGTTTCCTCAGTCCAATATTCTGTAAGCCTTTGTTGATAACATGTTATGTGTTCTGTGCCGTACAAGGGACTGGGCACATGGGGGTGTGTAAGACGGGGATCCTCTTTCTTCAGGAGTTGATAGTCTAGGAGAAGAGAGACAATTAACCTGGTACATGCAGAAAATGTAAAAAGTACTACCATAGAGATGAGCACTTAGGAGAATATATAAGTCAGAGTAGTAAGGGTTTTGTCTTGTAATGATGTTTGTTTCCTTTTCCCAGTATATTAAAAATCCTAACAAAAACCTTAGCAGTTTCCTATGCAAAATGGCAATGTGAACATGTGGCTTCCATAAACTGTTGAATATTCTCACAGTAGTAAAAGGCTTGAAGGGATCTTCAGTAACTACAAGTTTCATTTACATAAATTCATCAGGTATTTTCCATATTTTGACATTCCTAAGAACCCTTTTAAAACCTACCACATTTTGTTTGGGGAGTATCTTTCCAAGTCAAAATTCTTGTACTTTCCCCACTCTGTTTCTTTCTCGATTTTCCCCTAAATAAGTCGAGAAGCATTTATTTTCTGTGGCTGGTAAATATGATTTATCGGCTTTTGGAAGAAAAAAGAAGAAAGAAACACTGAAAAACCTGTGGTGCATTTTCTGCTTCAGTAAATGGGTCACACTTTGTCAAATTCTGACTATATTAAGCTTTTGTGAAGTTCTGTTTTTCTCAAATACTAGGTTGCTGCATTGGATATCGAAGGGCAATTTATTTTGTTCTAAGTAGGCTTTTACTCAGTTCATTTTTTTTTTACCTCAAATAATGAATACTTCAGAAAAGATAAATCAGATAAATTAGAATGCTAAAAGAAGGAGAATATTATTTTCATTTACATTTGGGCAAGTGCACGCTGCCCCATATTTGGAGATGGTTATTGCAAACTGAGACTTGTAAGATACTGACTTGTTAATTTTCTTGTGGCAGTGATGAATTTGAGGTGATCCATCTCTGAGAAAAATGGCCCTGTCAGAAAGTAGCTTCTATGAACAGAAAGATCAAAATTTGCCATCCTCATAGAAACTGAACCTAAATCATAGCCACCAACAATTATTACTGCATACAAATAAAGGTAGAGAGTAGATATAATCAAGAGTATGCCATTCACAAATGACTGCTTAAATGTTTTTAAATTGATCTGAACATTTACTTTTTGATTCTAAACTATTTTTCAAAATTGTCTTGCTATCACCTTGTTAGGATGAGTATTTCTCAATTAAAACGATAGCATACAATACACATTCAAATGCAAGATACATTTCTGTTCTAGTAAAGTGCCCAGCACAATGTCTGGAATATTATGTGTTCGTTAAATATTTTCTCTCTCCTTTTTTCCATTTGTCATGATAAACTACTTTAAGTTGGCTTAGTTATCATCTCATATGAGGACTAACCCCAGTGCAAAATAAACCACTCTTTTCCAAAAATCACTTGGTATTAAAATAACATTTACCAATTATTAGGTATGTTAAAATTTGTTTTCACTCACACATTTATACTGGTCATGCATTATTTGGTGCCAATCTTTTCACAAACATAGTCATTCTTGTTTTATTTTAGAACATTTTCATAATGCTGCAAAGCAAGAAGGGCGGCAACGTTAAAGGAATAGATAAGTGTGTAAGTGGGCATTAATACCTTCATCTTGAACCAGCTTCACCTTCTCTTTTTCAAATCCTCTGTTTACATCTCAAGAGAGTTTCATAGTCCTGAACAAGTTATCATTTGGGTGCTCCTGTTGATTGATTCATGGCTTTCTTCTCTCCTCTAGTTTCAATCAAATGGTCATCCCTGAGCAGAAAACATTTGAGAAAAACTTGGAACTCATACACACATTCTGACAATGTGTGCTCTTCCCCATGACCAGCATTCTAGGTCTTCATTGCTTCATACTTAAGTTGTTGATAAAAACAAATTATTAGCCTACTTCCCTGCCTTCAGTCTTCCTTTCACCTAATTGCCCTACTGACAGAGAGCCTTAGAAACATTCCTGCCATATTATTGCTTCCAGTTTAACATCTCAAATGATCCCCCATTTCTATCAAATAAAATTCCCCAGTTTGATATTCAAGGCCCAATACAAACTCATCTTTGAATGCCTCTGGTTTATGACTTGTCACATTTCAACAGATAGTCCTGTCCACAAAGTCACAAACATATATATTTAATATTTAAACTTGTCTCAGCCACTACTTTTTAAAAATGCTTTCTGTCCCTTCCCACCTGTCCCTGATGTGGGTGAGGTATGCCTCCCCTCCTAGAGTACCTTCAGCAAATACAACAGAGAATGGAACAAACTGTATTGTCATTTTTTGCTTGTCGGTATCCCTTCATTAGGATGTAGGTATCTTGTGGGCAGAAATATGTTCTATGCATCTTTCTCTCACCTTATAAACTTGCATCAAAGTTAACTTCTTTGAAAATAGTAAGATGGTCATAAAAAAAGGAAGAGATGTGACTTGGAGCTCCCAATATGAAGCTGAAAATAATTTGTTTCTAAAGCAATACTGCTTCTTACAGAGGAGCCTAAAAATCAAGAGAATCAAGAGACAAATAGTCAGTATATGCAGAATTCTGAAAGTCTGACATATGGATTCAGCACTCAAATCAGTTGCCAGGAACATGTACCAAACTCCAGGATATTGTTATCTGGGACTGTTTATGTCCTCCATACACAGAGCCCCTGTTCTTCCCTCTGGATGACATAATTAGATCTGTTCCCTGCTTGCCTCTCTTACCACCATGCCCTGGCCACTCTCTTCTCTGGTCCAATATCTGAGGATCCCTAAGACAGAAAACTCATTTCATTAATACCTATTCTAACACTTCTTCATTTTAGGCATCATTTCAGAATTTGCTCTGCAAGCATGCACCACACTGTTGTTATAATACAACCTTTTACTGCATGTGAGAAATTTCCTAAGAAGCATTTCTCAGTCATGTCCCTCTGGTTTGGTTTCAGGTCCTTTCTTCCAAAGACAATCCTGTTCATCATGGAAGACATTGGAACCTCCAGTAGTTGGAGCTGAGGGTCTTTATCAGAAAGCAATCATTCACCTCTGTTTTAGCCCTACCTTTCATTCCTGATATCAACTGTGGTCCAAGTATGATCTTCAGTAACCAGACCCTGCCATACATCTGTAAAATTTGAAAATAAACAAGTGTTTAAAATATGTACATGTCTACATTTATTTCTACTACTCTGATTTTCTTGTAAGCTAAACATAATGCTTAACAACTCATTCAAGAGGCAGGAATATGACAGTAAAAAATAACTGAACTTCTCAGTCACCATCGCACGTTATAGACCATTATACCATTACAGAAGTACATAGTTTTGTTATCCCTTTGAGTTGACAGGAGTTCCTACTGTTTTTAAATATGTATTGACCTGCAAACCTACAAATGGTGGAAAGTACTATTTGAGAGAAACCATTAACTGAGATGTAGGAATATGAAAACACTGCAAGATTATATTTGACAAAGCAAGATGTGTAAAAATGTATTTCCACTGGCAGTAAGTAAAAATAATGTGGAATCTTACAAGGCAATTTGAAATTTATTAGATAAGACTTCCCAGAGAAGTAAGTTTTCACAAATCCTTTTATCTTTATTTTCAAACACATTCATCTTTGTTCACAAACTAGATGTGCTGGTCTTTGAAATCCAGCTTTATAACATCCCAGTTTTATTATGAATCAGTCACTTTTGGAACATATAAACTTCTTTAAAACAAATGTAGACCAAATGCCCCAGAACTCACTTGCCCAAAGGTTTAGTGAACTCCCTTTAGTCACTTCCACAATTTTATTTTTTAAAAGGTTGTGTTTTCTCACAACACAGACATTTCTTCCGAAGGCATGTCTCCTAAATGAGTGCTGAATTGTGTATCCATCTTGATTAGTCAGACTGGAATCTTGTTTTTCTTCTCTTTGCCACAAAATAAGAAACTTAAAGAATTCCAATATTTAGTCTTCATTACATGTGGGTACGCAGGTAGTGTAAGGATACTAGAATATGCCAAATTAAGGATTGCAAAGCTGCCTAAAAATGCTGTGTTGCTTAAACAATGTTTGAGGCATGGTTTCTTCCCTGTTTGGAAACAGTGAGGGCTGCTGTATTATAATTATTGGTTCATTTTCTGCTTGATTCCATGGTGGGAAGTGTGAGCCTTACTGACTTTAGAAATGCAGATGAGAAAAGTTTAGATTAGAATAAGTATATGAAAAAAAATCACGCCTGTCTTGTCAAAGAAAAACAAATGAATATTAATTTCTCTGTAATTCTGGCTAATAGCAGGACAGTAAGGAAAATATAACCTCTGAAACTTCAAAGACATTAAGTTATTGGGTTGATTAGAACCACTTCTGAATTAGGAAGTTATTTTCCTCATCTTCATTGTGTATACAGATCAGACTTGGTTGCCTGTGATGATTAGACAGAATAAAAGAAAATCTATGTAAAAACTGAAAAGTTTATGCATGCTTTGCATGTTAGTCCTTGAGCTCACAGAAAAAAATAATTATCACATTGGCCTGTTTTCAAAACACCTTGGGATAGTTTTCCAAAGAACCAGGAAGGATAATGCATGCAACATGTGCTAAGAGAATTCGGAGGTGAGAGCAATCCCTGAGGAATGGAGAAGTACAAGAAGGCTCATGGAGGTGGAGCTGAGACAGTCGAGGGCGAAATGAGCATTTCAGATACACAGTTTGTTCAATGGAATGGAGATGGACCCATATTGTTTGGGAGCAAAGTAATTAGTAAAGTAATTGGGTTGAAAGAGAGGATTAATTTATGGAAGTAAGAGAAGACAGAGGTGAAGAGATATGTAGGGACCAAAACAAATAAATGAGTGTCTGCTATTTGAGAGGTGTACTGGGCACTAAAAAGACATCTCTGAAAAAGGTGTTTGAGCTTGAGGGTAGGGTAAAGGAGATAAATTTGACTGAACAAAATGGTATAGATTGCAATGAAAATAGACCAGTTTAAGTTGTACTGAACTGAAGGAGATGCATGTGAAAGCTGTTATGAAGGAAAAAGAAATTGGACTGAATGGTTGAGAATGTGGGAAGAGAAATAGAAAGTTCAGCAGGTAAGTTGGTTGGCTGTCAGGGGGAATTATGTTTTGCTTTAGGATTTAAAGAATGTGCAATGCAGTTCTAATGCTACCAGCCCACGTTCAGCCAAACTTCATGGGTTAAGGGCACAGTCCCCCACAAGACTGCCCTCACTTCAGACTCTAGCCTCAAACTCTAGTGTTCCCAGATCACCCACACTTGGGACCAACTGGCTACAAATTTGGGAGTTTCCTCAGTTTTATAATTTGCCAGAATCATTCACAGAATTCAGTAAGGCACTAATCTTTATTATAGAGGATAAAAGTTAGGACCAGCCAAATGAAGAAGCATATACAGGGAAAGATCTGGAAGCCTTCCAAACATGAAACTTCTGTGTGCTCAGGGTGTATCATCCTTTCAGCATATCAGTGTGTATCACCAGCCAGCCAGCTCATTAAGCATCACTGTGCAAAAGTTTTATTGGAGTTTCATTACAGAGGTATGATGTTTTTTTCAATTATTTGCTATGAAATTAAACTCAGTCTCCAGCCCCCTTCCTCCTCAAAAGTCAGGGTGATATCACAGGACTTAAAGTACCAAACCTTTAACACATGATTGGTCTCTCTGCCATGGCCAGTCTCCATTCTGACCACTCTTGTGAGCAAAAACTATCTAGAGGCACTCCATGAGTAATCTCATTAGCATAAATTCAGGTGTGGCCCAAGAGGCCCACCATAAATAACACACTCCTATCACTTGGGAAATTCAAGGATGTAGAGGATCTCTCCTGAAAACCAGAGACACGGATGCAGCCAAATTCTTTGTTACACAATAGAATGAGTTTGAAGTAACTCTAGGTTCTTTCAGGCAGAATCTCTGGCAGACAGTTAAAATGTCAAAACAAGCTGGAGAGAAAGAGAAAAAAGGACTAGAAAGGTGACTTTGGCCACAAAGTGAAAGGTCAGTGTTCATAGTTATTCAACAAGGGCTTCAGTTGGGATATGAGTCCTTTGCAAGAGAATACACATCAGAAAGCAACTAAAACACATGTAACTTATTTGTCTAAAGAAATCAATGCTTAGCCTGAAGCTAACATTAACTTGAATAGAAACAATTCTTCCTGCATCTTCTCTGATAACCAGATGTCTAAAATACGTATCTTTTACAAGCATATCAAACAATCCCTAGAGAAATGTGATAAAAATATGTAAATCCAAAATTGACAGAGCAGTGACTTAAATACTTCATTCTTGTTCAACAAATGCAAAAGTGATGAGGTAAGCATCACTAATGCTCACTTGCTCTTCAACATTGTAAACCAAATGACTGAGTTCCTTAAGAACAGACAATGTTTTGTTCAATGTGCTGTAGAAAATGAAACAGCAGAAAACAAAACAGGAAAAAAAACACTTTTTGCCTTCATGAAGCTTACATTCTAGTTGGAGAAATAAATAATAAGCCATACACACACACACACACACACACACACACACATATATACACTAGAAGCCCAGTGCACAATTTTGTGCATGGGTGGGGTCCCTTGGAGTGGCCTGCGGGGATTGGGCCCCCGTTTGCACCCTTAGCCTTGCAGCCCTGCAGCCCCGCCTGGCACCCCGTCATGGCCTGGTGTCGCCCCCTCCCCTGCTCCACCATTCCGCCTGTGGGGCGATCAATTGGGGCCAGGCTCCCTGTCTGGCTCCCTCAAAGGCTGGGAGCCAAGCAGCGGTGGCATCAGGGGGTGGGGACGGCTGGTTGCCATATGCAGGGTAATCAGCGGGGCGATCAGGGCCCCCGCTTGCACCCGCCTTGGCCTGGTGCCACCCGCTCACCTGCTCCACCATCTTGCTGTGGTCCCACTCTTATTGGGGCCCATCTGGGCCAGCAGCACCTCCACTGCCGCCCACTGCCAGTGCCATGTCGCTGACACTCACCATGTTCTGCGCCACCCCCTAGTGTTTAGTGCATGTCATAGGGAGCAGCCGAACTCCCAAACTCCCAGTCAAACCATTTGCATATTAGGCTTTCATTATATAGGATAGTTAAGGCATTAGAGAAAGAGCTAGCTATACATGTGGGAAAACAACCTAGGGTCAGTTACATAGATGTCAGCTGATGCTCACTAAAAGGGCTGCAACTTCCTGAGTGACAGATATATCTCAAAAGGCTTAGCCACAATAAGACCAGTAATTGTTTAACAAAAAAGTGTCACAAGAAAATCAAAGTATTTTCAAAATTCCTTTAAAAACAATCCTCTTCCCTGAAAACTGGCCACATATGCCTGCGTCCTGAAAAAAACACCTCGTTCTATGTGTAATGGTAGACTGAATTCTAGACCTTCTAGATGCCCACCAAGTTAGAGCTGTTTCCCAAAGGTACAGCCCCTGATGCTACTGGGTTCAAAATGGTCTCTCACAAATGTTAGAGTCAATATTTGTTGATTGATTGGTTCGTGAGCTTGTATAGGACGAGTTTTCCTTCAAATATTTTATAATTGTTTAAAGAGCATCATTGCCCTGGCCAATGTGGCTGAGTTGGTAAGAGTATCCTCTAGTACACCAATATCCCAGGTTGGATTCCCATTAGGGCACATGCCTGGGTTGAAAGTTCCAACCAGCCCTGGTCAGAGTGTGCAGGAGGCAACTGATCTCTATCTCTCTCTCAAAATCAATGAAAGTGTCCTTGAGTGAGGACGAAAAAACAACAAAAACATCATTATTTATTTTTGTGACTTTCTACTAAGTTTCAAATTCCTTCCTAATTTCAAAAACTCACCTCTATGTAGAGAACAACTTGATATGAAAGTATGAGAATCTTGGAAACAAAAAGGAAATAAATTGCAAATTGATTTAAAATAGCACTAAATTTTCTGTTCTGGCCAGTGTGGCTCAGTTGGTTGGACATCGTCCCATGCACCAAAAAGTTGTTGGTTTGATTCCTGGTCATGGCACATGCCCCAATTGAGGTCTCAATCCCCAGTAGGAGGTATGCAGGAGGCAGCTGGTCAATGTTCTGCTCTCACATTGATGTTTCTCTTTCTCTCTCCCTCTCCCTAAAAATCAATAAAAATAT